GCGGTCACGGTACCAGCGCAGCGTTGCCAGGGGCCGTGCCCGGGGCACCAGACAGGTGAGCTCCAGCTCCCCCCCCTCGACCGCCAGCGCCGCCGCCTCCACCTGCGGCTCCTCGGGGGGCACTGCGGGCACAGGTGAGACAGGTGGGACACAGGTGACACACAGGTGAGACAGGTAAGATACAGGTGAGACACAGGTGAGACAGATGACACAGGTAAGACAGATAAGAAACAGGTGAGATACAGGTGACACAGGTGAGATATACATGGGATGGGTCACACAGTTTAGACAGGTGAGACACAGGTGACATAAATGAGAAAAAGCACAGGTGACACAGATGACATCCAGGTGACATCCAGGTAACACAGGTGACAGCCAGGTAACATCCAGGTGACACACAGACGGAGACAATGACACAGAAATGAGAGACAGGAGAGAAACATAAAGGGACAGGTGTCAGCTCGTGTGGCACCTGTCCCCAGGTGTCCCCCTCAGGTGTCCTCCCCGTGTCCCCAGGTGTCCCCAGGTGTGCCCAGGTGGTGGCAGGGGACACAAGGATGTGGCTTTGGGAGGTGACACAGGAAGTGACGGCCACCAGCAGCCACTGAGTGACCTCAGGTGTGACCTCAGGTGACCTCAGGTGTGCCCAGGTGACCTCAGGTGTGACCTCAGGTGTCTCCAAGGAATGGGAGGGGACACAAGGATTTGGTTTTGGGTGTGTGGGAAGTGTCCCCTCAGGACTGCCCAGGTGTGCTTCTATCCCTCTCAGGTGTTCCCAGGTGTATTTCAGGTGTATCCAGGTGTATCTCAGGTGTACCCAGGTGTGTTTCTATCCCTGTCAGGTGTGCCCAGGTGTATCTCAGGTGTACCCAGGTTTATCTCAGGTGTGCCCAGGTGTATCTCAGGTGTGTTTCTATCCCTGTCAAGTGTACCCAGGTGTATCCAGGTGTATCCAGGTCTATCTCAGGTGTATCCAGGTCTAACTCGGGTGTATCTCAGGTGTGCCCACGTGTGTTTCTATCCCTGTCAGGTGTACCCAGGTGTATCTCAGGTGCACCCAGGTGTATCTCAGGTGTACCCAGGTGTGTTTTTATCCCTGTCAGGTGTACCCAGGTGTATCTCAGGTGTACTGAGGTGTATCTCAGGTGTACCCAGGTGTATCTCAGGTGTACCCAGGTGTACTGAGGTGTATCTCAGGTGTACCCAGGTGTGCCCAGGTGTACCCAGGTGTGCCCAGGTGTGCCATACCCAGCACAGTCAGCGTGGCTATCTGGTGGTGGGTGTCATCGGCGTACAGCTGACAGAAGTGTCCCTGTGTACCCAGGTGTATCTCAGGTGTACTGAGGTGTATCTCAGGTGTACCCAGGTGTATCTCAGGTGTGCCCAGGTGTGCCATACCCAGCACGGTGAGGGTGGCTATCTGGTGGTGGGTGTCATCGGCGTACAGCTGACAGAAGTGTCCCTGTGTACCCGGGTGTACTGAGGTGTACTGAGGTGTATCTCAGGTGTACCCAGGTGTATCCAGGTGTATCTCAGGTGTACCCAGGTGTATCTCAGGTGTGCCCAGGTGTATCTCAGGTGTGCCATACCTAGCACAGTCAGGGTGGCTATCTGGTGGTGGGTGTCATCGGCGTACAGCTGACAGAAGTGTCCCTGTGTGCCCGGGTGTATCTCAGGTGTACTGAGGTGTATCTCAGGTGTGCCCAGGTGTACCCAGGTGTGCCCAGGTGTGCCATACCTAGCACAGTCAGCGTGGCTATCTGGTGGTGGGTGTCATCGGCGTACAGCTGACAGAAGTAGCCGCCCTCGTCGTCCAGGCGGGCCCGGGCCAGGCGGAGCCGCAGCCGACGGCGACTGAACTCGGCCAGCTCGAAACGCTCGTCCTTGAGGGCTGGGGACAGAAACGGCGACGGGGGTGTCAC